TATCAGGACACTGATAAGATATTAGGTGTTTTGCAAGTATGGGTATACAGTTTCCAACGTTTATCAGTTGGAGAGTGGTGGCTAGAAAAGTGATCCATGATTTCTGTACTTTTTCAATGTACAAAAGTGTGGAGACGAAGGTACGGGCTTGAGATTTGCAACTGGTGCACTTTCGTCTCACCTGTTGACCAAGAGAGTCCAAATATCATTCGATTTGAAGGAAAATTCGTTGCACCTTAAGTGCGAAGGAGGGACATCGATCCATTTCACTTGTTGCGGGAGGAACGGTCCACTGTTTAGGCGAGTGGGGAGATGGTAAAATATACTTAAGTTTTGCGTTACTTAAGGCTCTGTAATATGGGTAAATGGTTTTGATGGAAGTTGTATAAGAATTATTGAAAAAAAATATAAGTAGCAAGATAAACAAATTTAAAAAGTACTGCGTGTTAATGTCACAGATCAATAAACTATTAAACTGTGGATGAAGAAGAAGCAATTCGAATATGAAGGATATTTGTGAAATATTCAACTGTATAATTACATATAAGTCACATTTCCGATTTATTTATTATTCTCGATGTACAAATAAATACAAATATATAAAAATGAAACGAAATTTGCCATAAAAATGAAACGAAATTTGCCATACAAAGGAAACCTGGTAACCTCTGACTCACACGAAGTCATTGACACACAATATCTATTCTCATTTCGTGATAGAGTTTCATAATTAGGAGAACTAAGTAAGTATAACTGAAGAAATGAAAATATCATTGTCTGTTAAAAAGTAAATTATTTTAAAATGTGAAGCAAAAGAAAAATGTAATAAGCAAAAACCACTAATAAAAAGTTTTATCATTATAAATCTTCACTTTAAAAAAGTTATTGTATAAAAGTTAAGACGGTGAATTCTTAGAATTACTTTTAGAGGTACAGTACGGAAAAAGAAAAAAAAAGGGGGGATAGTTCTATTCTATATCTCCCGTTCTACTGGGCCGATTGACAAAATTCAAATTGCGTTTTTCATGTCTCGAAAGCGCAACGTAGGATATATATTACATATATATATATAGCCCTATTCTAACATAGGTATTTTGACACAAAATAGGACTTTTTTTGAAATAACGTACCAATTGTTTTACATATTTCGATTCTACGACTCAAATTATGTCAGACTACCAAGTTTTATAAAAATCGTACAAGTAGGTTTTAAATAATTAGCTTTCAAAATTTTAGCTCCTCAATGTTAATTGAATTTGGCATATATTTATTAATATCTCTTTTTTATTAAACTTTTTTTATTCTTCCTTTCACATTTCGAAACTTAGGTCCATTCTAAAACTAATTCAGCCATTTTTTGTGTTTTATTTTTTAAATTTCTACTTTTAAATAATTTTTATAAATTTAGTGATAATAACGCCAAATGTCGTTTATGGATTTTTGTTACAACCATAGCTATTTTTAACCTTAAATTTCAAATAAATTTTTATGGAGAATTAATTATCTGAAATTTTTCCCCTCAGTGATGCGTAATAAATATTTATTAATATTATATGAAAAGCTATTTTTTAAAATTATAGATGATACTATTCAAATTTTTAACTTTTTTAAAATTTCTTTCTCTCTCTCTTTTTTTTTTTTTTTTTTCTAAATTTTTGTAAGAGTAAATTTTTACCTTCGCCGTGTTATCGTCTGCTACTTTATTTTGCATTTAAATTGAGTTGTCTAAAACGGAGAAAGTTGGTTTGATGTTTATTTTCACAATGATTTTAAGCAAACAGGACGTTAAAAGTTTGGGTCATGTCTCAGCTTTAAAAAAATATATACAAATATAAATTTTTACATAAATCTTCTTAAAGAATGTTTTAAGTAGTAATTTTCTCTCGTGTTGTAGATTATATAAAAATCATGTCCTTTAATATAGAAATTATTAGTCTAAAAAACTCTAAAGAATATGATTTAGATTGTTTGCACCCGATATAAAAATCGGGCCACTCCGTGGTACAGTATAAGCGCTGCTGGAGTGATTTAGTTCTTTCTCATTAAAAAAAAAATCTTTTAATTCAAATATTTATCCTTTGGACTTTGCTTTAAAACTTTATTTCTAGTTAAAATGTCTAGAAAATGAAAAGCTATATTCAGCTGAAACGCATTTGATGAAACGAATATTTTAAAAAAATTGACAAGAATGCAAAATTTATGGAAGTGTGACAATCGAAAAATCTTAATTTTTCTGTGGTGAGCATTGAAAATAAATGTAGAAGGAAGAAATGTAGGAAGAAAAGGAAGCAAAAATTTTGAAGGGGATTTTGGCTGTCAGAAATACCAAGGGGTTTTGAAATGTTGGATGCTTTTGAATATACTTTCAGATTTCAAGGAATTTGGGTTTCCAAAGAGAAAACGCTTGGACGTGTACACCAGCAAATACCATTAATTGAGCTTGTGCTAACGAAAAAGACAAAAACGATATCATTGCAGATTAAAGTGAAGAGCGACTGGTTTTCGACTATATGTTTGTATAAATTTAAATTACGTTATAGAACATCATATAATCATAAGCAGAAAAAAACCCATGATTTCTTAGTCGAATTATTTTAATATTCATGAATTTATCCAATAACGTATGTGGATGTCACCTAAAGACGTTTCCCCTCTTGATGAAACCAGTCTTTCGTTTCATCTCATGCCTAAAAATGCTTAGCCTCTAAAGACTAATAAAGGCTCAGAACAAGTACTGATGAAATGGATTTAATTGAATTATTAAGTTACGGCAAAGCAGGGCTATCTGCCTAAAAGGCCTTCGTGAAGAACGTTCTAAGGGAAACCAGCTGGCATACACGTTACAACGAGAAAAACCATGAACCAGCCCGTTTCGAACCCCTGAGCGAACTACCAGTGTTCAGCGACTTTACCGCTCAGTCGTTGCTGGCTTCATGGAATGGAAGACGATAAATTTATTTAAAGTGAATGTCAGAAATACCAAGATGTTTCGATAGGTTAGATGCTTTTTAATGTACTTGCAGAATGCCTGAAGAAAAAGAGCAAGCCATTAAGAAGAAAAAAATAAATTTTTGCATAAAATTTAGTATTTTTTTAAATTTAAAACTTTAATCTTATTATATTTGATTCTTGCGATTTCAAAAATAAACTATTTGACTAAAATATGAATAAGATTTTAAAAAACTAAATGTAGGATGATAAAATTGTGTAAAGAAATGAGCATCATAATGTTAAAGCTATTTAAAGCAATATATGCAAGTCATCCTAAGTTAAAATGTCGGTTAATACATCTTTCTTCATTTATATATCTTTTTCCTGAAAGGAACATTGAAAGGCGTGTTAACTGTGTTTCACTGTATTTTATTTTCTCTTTTAATATATTTCAGTTTTCAAGATGCAACCGTAGTCTTGGGACACAAAGTATTCTTCCGAAAGAAACGCAATTCAAATAAATAAAATAAAATCATGGAAAATTTATATTAATAAATATATTTAAATGCTCAGTTCGAATGAAAAAAAAGTAAATTTGAAGAGACAATGCAAAACAAACAATTAAACTAAAAGTCTACAAATTTAAAAATGACCTAAAATAATAACTGTGACCCCCCCAAAAAATATAAAGAAATCTATTTGAAAAAAATAAACGATGCAACTTATATTTAAACTACGCGGTTCGAATGGGTAATAGATAATTTTAAAAGTTATTCGAAAGAAACCATGCAACTTAAAGAATTAAAATGAAATTCGAAAAAGGAAAAAAAAAGTGTTTAAAATAATAACATAAAAATATAATATAAGGAACATTATTTGAAAGAAAGAACGTTGTGATTTTTTTTCCTCTCACAGAAAAGGAAAATAGGTTGCCATATATTAAGAAGTTCGCCAAGTGAACTCTTCTTGGCGCAAACTGAAAAAAAAGCGGCAACATAAATTTGTGAATTTCTCCGTAAATTTTCTCACCAAATTTTACAAAATTTTATATTTGGGAATAATTTGAGTCGTAGCATCGAATATGTAAAAAAACTGGCATGTTATTTCAGAAAAAGTTCTATTTTATGTCAAAATACTTATGTTAGAATAGTTCTATATATAAATCTAATATATATCCTAAGTCCCGCTTTCGAGACATGAAGAATGCAATTTGAATTTCGTCAACGGGAGATATAGAATTTTTTTTTTGGGGGGGGTCGCACTGTACTTTGCTTGAAAGAGAATGCTTGCTTGTATCTTTAATATGGTGTGTCTACCCTTTAGAAAACGTTTGTACTCATTATAAAAGCTAAAGCAATAACTTTGATTCTCGTACGACGAAACTGACCAAGCTATTTAATTTTAGAATTTGGGATAGTTCATATCATTTTGAACTTGCTTTGAGAGGCTGGTTAATAAATAAAATAAAGTAATTCGAGATTTAGTTTTCCTCTTGAATGACATTAAATTATATTCTTGTGTGACTTACTGTGAATTCACACCTCATGTGTGAGAATTAATATTTTTAACTACTTCTTTAATTTATAGCTAGCTATGTTACAACTGCTATAGCAAAAGAATCTTTATGAAATTAATGTTTCAGTTTTCCCACGCTAAAAATCAATTATTAATTGTATCATGCAGTTTAATTACTTTGGAATCATTATCTAATAATCCTGCGAAAAATCACTAAACTTTAAATATTTTTAATTCGTGTAAATAATGTTACGAATGGGTTATGGACCAATTGAAGTGTCAATATTTTCTAGAAACACCAATTCTATGAATAATTTTTTTTTTGAAAAATGTATTAAAAAAAAAGAAGTTTTAAATGCTAAAACATGAATATTTGCTTCATTTTAAACATTTTTTATAATTAGGTACATATGTCTACGACCAGTTGATCTGAAAGTAAAAGATGAGGAAGAAATTTCGTAGACACACTGTGCATGCTTATTTATATATGTATAAGTGTACTGTTTTTTCAGTTTTAAGACTAACTAAATGTGTAATTCTCTTTTGTTTTCTAGGATTCAACTGTAGGAACACCCGTTACGTTACGTGTGGACAAAAATGGCTTCTTTCTTTACTGGACAGATCAAAACAACGTAAGTCTTGAAAATTTCTTTCCCAGACTATATTAAATATTTAAATTAAAATTTGAATAATTAAATATAAAATTTTAAATTTTTATTCCGTTCCAGTAATCAAAAATACCGTTATATGCTGTTTCTTATCATGGTAAAATTCACAAATGATTTTAACATACCTTTTGGATTACTTATACAGTAACTGTTAAAATTCGTGTTAATTTAAGCAGACTATTATAATGTTTATGTAACATACATTTCTGTATAAGCATAAAATATATTTGACTATCTAACAGAAAAGTAAAGTAAGACAAAAATGTATGATCTCTTCGATTCTCTACATATAATTTTCTTGAACTCTGATTACTTAGCTGCCCATGTTTTCATTGTTTATGAACACTTTATGTTCATATTCATTCCCTTCATGTTTTCCTTTTTGTTTAGTAATATTTTAGTTTCTGTATTGATGGGCTAAGTATTTTGATGTTCGTTCGCATGTCAATCGTTTAAAAATGTCCGCAAATAGCTAATTACAATAAAGGTTTTTGTTCATTATCATAATACCTCAATATTCGATTAAATATAAGAAAGAAAGCTTGAAATATGCAAAAAAAGAAATATAAGGATAATCTGCTGCTGTCAATAATAGTTTTTGCTATAGAAAATGATAGAGATCATACTTCATAATCTTCATCAATTTTAATATCTAAAATATTTCCAAAGCCTTAAAATATAATACAGTTTATATAATATATATATAATATAATGCAGTACTTTGTCTATAAAATAAATGCTGCAATCTCAATCAAAAGTAGGGCCATAGAATAGAGTTTTATTCAACATTTTTGAACAAGCCTGTAGATGATTCTAAATATCAAGGCGGGAGCAATTGCGGGAAAACAATTAAGAGTGACCATCGTTCAATTAATTCTTTGACAGTTATGTATGATAAAAATGGCGCCTAACTCGTTTGATTAAATTCAGGATAAGTTTAATGTTTTACCCTTGGTTCAAGGATATGGAACTCACTTTGATCGAGTGAGTGATAATTAAAGATATGCATTCAGAATAAATCTAGAACATGCATTGTTTAGTATAAATCTAGGAAGAGCTACTTGGAATAACTTGACGTACATGTCAGCTTTTAAAATTTTGTTGGTACTCATTCTACAGTTATCAAAGTTTATTAGTCTGTTTCTAATTAGAATTGAAAGGCTCCTAAACATTTTATTCAATCTCAAAGACAGGCCAGTTACTAATGACAGCTCTAATAATATTCAGACAGATTTTATTAGAATTTCGTCCAGAGGAGATAAAATCTGAAATTCAAATATTTTTTCCCCTTTTAATCCAGACCAATGATTTAGCTAAGAGATTTTAATATTATTCCATGTAATAACAATCTGATATTGATAATTATTCGTCTAATAATTTATATGTTATTAAATGAACCAAGAATAAATATCATAAACTGCTACCCAATGATATCTGGCAACACGTCTTTGTTTTATATCTAAGGTGTTACAGCTATTATTACTTTCTCTCTCTTTATGTATAGAGTATATTTATTTCAGTATTTGTATTCATTATATATAGAGAGTGATGTATTATAGCTATTATTACTATTTTCAAAATCATTTCCAAGTCAACCTCAACATAATGTTTTTTTATAGTCTTTTTTTTAAATATAAAAGATGGAAAAATTTACTGCATTTCACTGATGCAGATGAAAAATTGATACTATTTATAATAAAATTTGAAACAGTTCAAGTCCTCTTTGGGAATATTATTCACTATGATGTACTAAAAAGTAAGTAACGCTTCAGAGTTTACACATTTCCATTTTAAATTGAAATAAAATACGAAATACACATTTATTGCATTTCTGCAAAGGTTATATTTTTGTGGAAAATATATCTGTTGAGCAATTCCACTTTTTTTTCAGATTATGTTCTTGCAAATACTTCTCTGACGTCTTCTTCAAAACTTTCGAAATCTTTTTAAGTTGTAGAATGTATTCAATTCGTAGAAAGTCGATTCACAAGAGAAATTATCAAGCTTTGGTAGTTGTGTAGCAAGTGAGATAACAAGATCTTATCTTCTCAGTAAAATTTCTTACTGAAAAGAAGAACAATGACTTATTTTTAGTATTGAAATGCATGATTATTCGTAACAGCATTTTCATATAATACATCTGGATTTAATCTGGATTAATTCGTTGAAGCTAATGAAAATGTAATTTTAAGCTGAGGATTTTTGCGAGTTGACATTTTCATGAATTCTGATTCGGCGGATTATGCCATATTCTTAGCCATTTAGGCTTAGGCAACATAAAATATACTGATGTAAGCATATTATTATCTAACTAGAAGACATGCTAATATAAAATTGAAACTAAGCAAAAAAATGGAACTTTTGATTGGCGTAAATTTTACTTAGAACAAACACTATCTAAGAATCTGCGAGATTCTTAGACTCCTTACAATTTTCTCCTTATAATTTTAACTATTTCTACACTATCTGCGAGAATGTTAAGACACGGGTCCGTCTTTTGCTCCTTAAAAGAAGTGATACTATGTCTCATCGTATATGAAACACGTTAGAGTTTTATTTTAAAAAACTTTGGTCTACAAGGAATAAGTCAGATTGCTTTCAAAATCGACAGTGTTTGTCCACATTCTACTCCATTATTAAATATTAGAAATATCATTTTATAAAAACGGGTGTATAATTGTTATCTTTTATATACGCTATACACAGTGTACCTTCAAAACTAAAAGACAAAAAATTTTTTTTTCAATCAATTCCAGTAGATCTACAAATAGTATTTAGTGACAATGATTAGAAATTAAACTCGATTTTTGTTCTTTAAAATATCCTCTTACTGCGTATAAAAGTTTAAATGCAGTTTTTCTCTGTGAATTTATGTGCTTAAATCTTCAGTTATGAGTTCAACAGCTGAAAAACAAAACGTTACAAGGATCCGATTTAAATAATCTGCAATGATCCAAATGTTTTTAAACAAATTCACAAAAACTAGCGACAAAAGATTTATGTTTCACTTATGATTTAGATTTATAAGATAACGAAAAACTGAAAAATCAAAAGATTATCTCTCTCTACAACAACAACAAAAAAAAAACATCTGTCTGAAGGAAGAGATGTCTTCGTGGAGAACGTTCTAAGGAAAGGTAACTCGTATTTACATTACACATGGAGAAAATTTACTGGGATTTGAGCCTGGATCGAATTAATTATCTGTAATTTATGGCTTTATACTGCCGAATGACAGTGACGTGCATGTAATTGGAAACAAATTGACAACCATCTGCCTTATTTAAGAGAAAAGTTACTTCGGTCGGGTAAATTTCGCTTTCAAAAGTTTCGCGTACTAAAGGTGCTGGTAACTTTTTTATCGATATGGAGTAATTTAGGAGGATTTTGTTTTGCTTCGAGGAGAAACTAGAAGATTCGATATGCTATAAGAAACAAGAGACCCGAGTTCTGAAAAGAATCCGAAGAAAGGACAGAAAAGGCTGAAATAATTTAGAAAAGTCTAATTTGCTTAGCTTTCTGTTCTCGCCGTCGAGTGGGGACGGTTGAATGATGAGTAATGAGTGAGCTATAAGCAAAAGATGAGATAAAGAAAAGCGAGGCTGAACGGCGGAAAAATGTTTAACGAAGCCTTCTTTGCAAACAGAACATAGAAACTGCAACTTTGATGTAATTGTTTTAAATCGCTCCATATTTGTTTGTTAAAATATTCTATTTCTTTCCTGAAAACTTTTGTGGAACAAGCATTGATGTCACGTACTTAAGATACACTCTATAACAAACAAACAAACAAACAAAAAAAAAAAAAAAAAAAAAAAAAAGACGCACCAAGAAGGAATCACCCGATTTCTTTGAAATTTCGCATGCATAAATGTTTTGACCAAATAAGCAGATGATTAAAATTTGGTGCCCAATGAATGAATAGTGCGATCTCCAGCGCATCGAAACTGCGCATCCAGCAGATATTTATAAAGAGCTGTTCTCGAACCTTTTGTTAAAATTTTCTGTTGCATTGCGATTTAGGATACCTTTCAACGACTGAAAAAATGCCTCGCCGCAGGATTCGAGCTCATTAGGAGCAACTGTCAGATTCTGAAAGAGGTCGTATCATTGGATTGAAAAAGGCGAGTTTTGCAAATCGGAGAATCGCTCGTCATATGAGTCAAAGTGGTGCGGCGATTAAAAAGATGCTGGCAAGAATGGGTGGACAATGGCAGATTTCAGCGTCATAATGGTAGCGGTCGACCTAGGGCCACAACAGATCGGGAGGGAAGAATAATTTTCAGATCAGCTGTCACAGCGTCTGATTCAACCATCAGACATGCGACTCGCACATGAGTGTCCACCATGACCATTTCCAGACTGCTGATAGAGCGAAATCTACGCTTGTACCGACTGTTACGCCTCCTGCCACTCACGCCTGCACACTGTCGAGTCGGATTACACTGGTGCTTGGCTCACTGTAATCTGGCTCGACAGGTTGGAATGATAGTGACTGGGGACGTACAGTCTTTAGCGACGAATCCTGCGTCCAACTGTGTCGTGACGATCATCGAAGACGCGTCAGGAGATGCCCAGAGCAGCGTGCAGTTCCTGCTTTCACTTTTGCACGCCACATGGGCCTTTAATCAGGAGTTATGATCTAGGATGCCATTTCCCTTGATAGTCGGACCTATTTGGTTGTCATTAGAGGCACACTTACAGCGCATTGGTACGTCGACGATATTCTGAGACTTGTTTTGTTAACGTTCCTTTTGCAGTACCCTGGCCTTATTTTTAGCAAGATAATACCAGACCACATATGGCATATGTTGCTATGAACTGTCTTATAGCTTGTCGAGCGCTTCCTTGGCCAGCCAGATCTCTCTCCCATCGAGCATGTCTAGGATATGAGGTGACTGCATCTTTAAGGGCATGCTGATGATCTAGCTCAACAATTGGAGCAAATTTGACCAGAAATACCG